TTTTACTAACCTTCCTGGTGAGTTGAAGGTAGCAAGCCCTGGAGAGTTTTTGATCCCCCCTCGAGCAGCCAATGCCGGTAAACGTAGGGAATTTGAGGCAAAGGTGCCTCATGGAGATGACGACCTCCAAATCCTCGAGGGCAGGTCGGCCGAGGATGATGTTATGTGCGCAGTCGAGGTTGACGACGACGAATTCCACTTCGAGTTTGGCCCTATGGGATCCGTCGCCGAACTCGACCATTAGGGAGATGACGCCCTCAACATCGATGCTATCCCCTGTGAATCCGGAGAGGAGCGTTTTGATGTGCCGAAGGGACCCCATATCAAGTTCTAGTTCTCGGAATGTGCTGAGATACATAACGTTGACAGAACTCCCTGTGTCAACATAAGTTCGGAGGATGATGGAGTCACCCCCGGTGTTGCCTCCAGTGATCATGTGTATGTGGGGCTTGTACTGATGCTGGGGATCCTCCTCTTCGCTGAGGTTCCCAATCTCACTCTTCTTCCCCCGTGCGTGGATTTCCCAAGGGGATGGTGTTTGGGTTAACCCACTTGTTTGCCTTCGGCGGGGGCCCTTGGTGATGAGGGGGCCCCTGGGGAGGAGGGCCCCTGACAAATTGAGACAGATGGCCTGCCTGTATCAACCTCCGGATGGCTGCCTTCAGCTGATGGCAGTCATCGGTCCTGTGCCCTTGATGGCGATGAAAGCGGCAATATGGTTCATTGGGGTTGATGGCGTATACCTCGAGAGGTGCGCGGGAATCTCGCTCCACGAGGCCTCTCTCTTCCGCGTAGTCTAGGATGACGCTGATGGGATGCGTCAGAGGGGTGCACGGGTGCTCTAGGAGGGTAGGTTGTGCCCAAGCTCTCGGATTGTTCTTGTAGTCGCCTCTGGGTCTGGCTTGGCCATTCCGGAGGCGGTCATTGTATTGTGTCTCGCGGTTTGCCGGAGGGGGCCCCCCTGGGGCGATTTCTGCCTTCGTGCTTCTGTGAGGGCTCCGGATTACGGCGATCTTTTTCGATTTCCTCGGCCTCGACATGTCGTTCCCCCCGCTGGAGGGCCTTTGTATAATCGCGGGGGGATCAGTGATAAGGCTCCTGGAGAAGTTACCGTTGCGGAGGACGGTGTGGAACATGGCCATCAACGTCCTGTCGTCGGCACCATCGACCTCGATTGAGGCCTGCCTCCATCGTTCCAAAAAACTCCGAAGGGTCTCCTCCTTCTGCTGCCTTATGTTTAGAAGGTGGGAGAAATGTTTCTTTGATCGGTGCCTCCCGGCGAATTGTGTTAGGAAGCGATGGGCAAGTTCTTGCCACGAATCGATGCTGCCTTCGGGCAACCGGTTGAACCATTAATATGCCGGCCACTCCAGGATGGAAAGGAACCAATGACACAAATATTCATCCGATGCCCCCATCATCATACTATTCTGATACCTGCTGTAGTGTTCTTGGGGATCCGTCTTTCCCTCATATGGTTTGATGGGTTGTCCCCGATATTTACCAGGGATCTGAGCTGCCAGCACCCTTAGGGTGAAGGGGGTCTTCGTGCGGATCTGGATGAGGGGTTCGCCTGAGCCTTCGGCGAACTTCCGCTTCATTTCCTCCATCTGTGCTAGTATGGCGGCGTATTTTGGATCCGTCTCCAAGGTCGAAGCGGGGGGCGTTTGGTGTGCCTCCTTCTCCTCCAGCTGGCGCCGGAGGGCCTCAACGATCTCATATTTGTGATCCCTCGGGGTAGCCCCTTGGGATTTTGCCCTGAACGATTGGACGTGGTTGATTTGATGCCTAACGTCATCTGCATGAAGGAGTCCCTTGCCCTTGTTTCGAGGGGGAGGGGAACCCCCGGCCCCCGAAACGGAACCTCCACTTTCCTGTGGCCTGCTAGTTGATTTGCCACCGAGACGGTCTTGGACCCCTCGGCGTTCAGGAGCTCTCCCAATCTCTCGAGGGCAGAGGTTCGGGGCTTCTCCTTGTTTGCGTAACGCTTGTCCTTGGATTGAGCCTCTTGGGAAGCGGTGTCCTGTTCCATGACCCCCTTGGCGTTGCCAACCCGTATGATGGGATTGTTGAACAGAGGAGGGGGTGGCAGATAAGTAGCGTTTCCTCCAAAATAGGGTTGGAGTGGTGCTTGTGAAACGAAGGCACCAGAATTCACCGCCATGTTCTGGATGAAGGCCGCGAAAGCGGTTTGAAGATCGATGGTTGGAGCCGGAGAGGGAACTTGGTTCTCGCTCTGATCCTTCCTTCGGTTATCAAGGCCGATACGGGCATCGGGGGAAGCCTTCTGCAGCTGTTGAAGGAGGTCAGTAGCGGCCTGTTCCAATTCCATGATGGTGCCGCCTTCGGGCACTAAGAGCCTGTTGGAGGCCTCGACCCCGTTGGTTTCGCCGTGGGCTACGTGGTTATCCTCAAGGGTTTTGGATTGACCACGAGTTCTTCCCATTTTGGTAGGTGTTTTTTGTTTGGCAAAGGGGAGGGTTTCTTACTTGATTGTTTGGACCTCTCAACGAGAGCACCAAATGATGGATAGTGTACCCGGGGGTAGCTTATCCGAGGGGTTATTGCGGGGAATAACCAAGAGAGAAGTCAGAGCAAGCAAGTAAGAGAGAGAGCCAAGTATATTAAATGAACTTGTTCTGGGATCCTTCACAAGAGGAATAGGGGGTGCTATTTATAGCAACCATAAATGCGATGAGAGTACATGTGTCAACAATCTAACGGCCGAGGGGTCACCTCAATCGGGGTGGCACCGGCATTCGCATGTGCACCGCATTAAATGCGGTGGGTGGATGTGACGCTGCATTAAATGCGGTGGTTGCTTGTCTCCAAAAGGAATCTTTGATGATTGAGCTGTTAGCCGAAGGCTCCCCCGTAGCCGGGGGCTCCCTGTAGCCGGGGGCTCCCTGTAGCCGGGGGCTCCCTGTAGCCGGGGGCTCCCTGTAGCCGGGGGCTTGGTATAGCCGAAGGCTACCCTTATGCCGAGGGCTACCAGATGCCAAAGGCTCCTAATTTTTGTCGTTTTTTCTCAGTAGCTTTGTATGCTAAAATCTAGCTGTTTGTGGAATTAGGAGCCTTCGGCCATTGTGCCGAAGGCATCCCCAGGTGCACCGTGGGTTCCTTTGAGCTTGGGCCGCGATGCTTTGGGCTTTATGCGCTTCTTGGGCCAGTTGGGCCTGTGCTGGAGTAGTGGGAGTCTGTGGGCCGGGGGTTCCTGGGCCATATACTCCATCAGGAGGTGTGCGTGAGACTCCATTGACACAGATGATTTTTGCTCCTTTTTGCTTCGATAGGAAAAATGGGGGAGAGAAGGTGTGAGATGAAGTGATAGATGAAAGTGATGGGTGATAGGATAAGAGATAGGTGGGTAAGACTTCATTAACTCATATGGCTGGGGCGGAATATTAGAAGGGTAAGGTGGAGGGGTAAAGTTGTCACTTTAACCATATTTCTATATCTAAAATGGAAAGTGAAAAATCATTTTGGAACAATCAAAAAGGATATTTTGCAAAACAAATCGAGACGGACTATATTTTACCAGTAAAAATTCCACTTGCTCGCAGGATATAAAAATTTAGGTTTTAATTTTATTTATATTTATATTTGTACAAATTATATTGGAAAACTTGACAGGAATAATCCCACATTTTACTGGTATTCTCATAATAATTCAACCTTTACATAATCCCAAAATAATCTCACCTTTGCACCTCATCCTTTTTTCATTGGACCCTAACCAAGTTTTTTATTCTTTCATTGAAAATCATATAAATAAGAAAAAATTGGTATTATTAATCTCAACTATTTACCATCTGCTTTTAATAATCCCTATTATACATTATTTCCATATAGTCCCAACTTTGACCACCATTTTCTTTAAATAGTCCCTCACCGGTTGTCCCAAGTTATAACTGGAAAAGAATCCACACACGTGCATCTCACATGTTATAATAAAGGTAGATAATATATCCTCCTCAAGATGTCAATATTCCAATGTGTTTCTTCTCCGGTAGATCTACGAAGCGCCGACAACAGATTCTCACTATCCATTTGAAGCTTCTAGAGAACTGTTTTCCAAGCAAATGAAGCAATCCTGCAGCAAACGATTAGCTTGAGAAAGAGATTCATGTCTGAAGGTTCAAACACATAGAAGAACCTTATAGTTCTCTACATCAATCCAACACATCTTAAAAAATCTGACCCAATTCCCTTTGATTGAAAATCACACTCACGGGAAAATCTAGAACAGATGATTGAAATATTATTCAATCAATCCACCTGTTTACCCGGTTTTTATGTTCCAATTTCAAATTGATACAAGAATTTCTCAAGAATTGGTCATCTTCTTCGAGTTGCTCTTAAGAAGTTTGAGGTCAATGAAATCTTTAAACAGAAGAAGAAGAAAACGGACCGATGCGTGACTCCTACCCTCTACTTTACCTTCTCTAAATTCTTCTCCTTGGATGACTTGCTCTCTCTGTTAGAGACGCTAAATGCGAAGGATTTTCTCCATCTGTAGCGGGGTGGGCGTGGGGGTGGGGGAAGGGTAGAGGTAGATGAGAAGAAAGCATGTGGTTTAACAGTGATGGTATTAAGATGGGTTAAGCGGCCGGTGAGTTTACTGATGGGGATTATTGGTTGTACCAGTATTGGGTCTACCGGACTATTTAAAGAAAATGGTGGTCAAAGTTGGGACTACAGGAAAATAATGTATAATAGGGACTATTAAAAGCGGAACGCGAATAGTTGGAATTAATAATATCTATTTTTCCTATAAATAATCTTACTTTTCACCTTTTTATTATATCTTTGTAAATGTGAGTTTATTTATATAAGATTTTCAAAGAAATGTAAAAAATTTGGTAAGGATCCAATGAAAAAAAAGATGGGATGCTAACGTGGGATTGTTATCCAAAAATGGTGGTCAAAATTTGTTTTTTTCAATTTTTCCAATTATATTTCCGTTTGTCTTTAATATACACAAGCGTCACATATTTCAGTATATTCCCGCATTCGGGAGTTCTCGTTTTCGTATGGCTCCCAAACTGAAACCTAAGCAGCAGCCGTCTATGCCCTCCGCCTCTGTGGAGGATCTGTTCACTTCACTCAATCGGCACATCAAAGGATCAGAATACCGGCAAGCCGTCAAAGTTGCGGATCAAAGTCAGTCTGATTTCACTGAACTCGCACAAACATGTTTTTTTTTTTTAAAAAATTAAAAATGCATATGCTTGCGGATCTGATATCTGCACATGTTCTTGATAAATGATTTCGGCATTCAATTAAGTTATTAATTTTTATTTTTTTCAATGTTGGCTGTATTGAAGTCCTCGTTGCTGCGCCTGGGGATGAGGATGCAGTTCGGTGTAAAGTAGTGGCATTAATCGAAGCTTATAAGGTAGATGAAGCACTTGAGAGTATATACGATAACTCCAAGAGGACTTCTATTGATTTGACCTTCCTGAAGGTAATTACCCATTCTTAATTTTTAGTTGAAGCATTTAAGACGATTTAAAAGTCAGTCCATATCATTTCACGACATGGTATTCAATTAATGGTTACTCTGTAGTCTGTACACATGAAACTTTTCCATATCATAGTGTGTTTTTTAAATCTGGGCAATAAGTTTCCATCAGCATCCTGAATTTCAATGAATGTAACAGTGTGAGACTGCATTCTCTTGATTATTAGATCGTCTGTGAACCAAGATAGTCTAGCAAATTTGCATACTTTTGGAGAAACTTTTCTAACAAAAACAGCTGTGTCTTATCAGGAACTCATATCCTTAATAATAAAATCAATTTTAAGCGGTGGAAGGAGTTTAACTATCAACTGTCTTGAAATACCAGTTTCCTCTTCTAAACAGCCAATTATCGAAAGCATACCATTTACCTGTGACATTATTTCTTTTTTAGGCATATTGCTTATATAAACAAAACAAGTTTAGCGAAGCTTTGGAGACTCTGAAAGGGAATGAGGAAAGCTCTGCAAAAATGCTATTGGAATCTCAAATTTTATATCGACTTGGAAAAGCAGATGAATGTGTTGATATTTATAGCAAACTCCAGAAGTCCAAGATAGACTCACTGGAGACGAATATGGTTGCTTGCTTTGTTTCTGCAGGAAGAGCACCTGAAGTGCAGGGTTATTTGGACTCTATCAGAGCTAGACCGACTCGCAGTTTTGAGTTGCCATTCAACACTGCTTGCTCATTAATTCAGAATCAGAAGTACAACAATGCTGAACAATTGCTACTTTCAGTGCGGAGGTAAAGTTGTCCTTTTCTCATGTGTAAACACATATGCGAGTAAGAGATCGCTTCAGATGAATTATTTTCATATGTTAAGTGTTTATTAATGGAAGAAGAGTACTTTTACTTGAGAAGATGTGCTTTGCAGGAAATGAAGATATTGTTTTTTTTGTTTGTAAAAAGTTGGGGTGAGCACCAACTTCTTTAGAAACAATTTGAATTCCTTTTCAAGAGAGCACCAGTTTGGCACTTTTTTAGAGACACGCTCTTCGTGCTTATATAAGAAACCACTTTTGATGAAAGCAGTTATACAATAAGTTATCCCAAACATGCTCTAAACTATGAAACTGCCATGACCAAAGCAAACTTTGTATTTCAGTATCTAGCATTGTTTCTTTGTCAATCTGAACTCTAGAACACACTGATGTATTTTTTGATACTCCGCATAATGTTCCTATACAATATATCAATCAATCATCATTTACCCCAGTGCCGCAAAGGCTCCCACCTACAGTGGGGTAAGGGGGGGTCGGATGTACGCAGTCTTACCCCTGTACTAAAGCACAGAGAGACTGTTTCCGGATGACCCATAATGAAAATCGCGTCCAAAATTGCATGGACTGACTGCTGCTTCATAACAAAGAAGAGCAGACAGTTTGGTGAGCCATTTTGCTTTATTCCATCATATTCTCAAGCCAAAAAATAATGAATCTTTGGACAGGCTTGCGAACTTTCATTATAGCTTTCAGTATGAATTCATTTCAAGGTGAACACGTTTTTATATAATTTCTTGATATAGTAAATTGTTCCCTTGAATTTGGAAACATTCTTGGAGTTGTACGTAGTCTTTGACTCTTTCTACTAGGGACAATTTGGATGGAGTCATGGAGGTTTTTGGAGGTTGTTGTTGTTGTACTCTTCTGCTTTTCTCCTTTGCATGCTCTATGCCATGCTCATCTTAGTGATGTTTGAAATTTACATGGGTGTATAGTCATATACTTTCTGCATATTACATGGGTGTATAGTCATATACTTTCTGCATATTACATGGGTGTATTACTGCATGCATATAGGCTATAATAGTATGGCATTTAGTAATTAAATGGGTTTACATGTGTACACATGAGTGTATGATTGTAATCGGGTAGGCGATAATAGTATGATTTCCCAATCTTCTGAAAAGCAGAGGGTTAAATATGTAAACCAAAAGATTTTGTTTGCTAGAAGATGGGTTTTACTGTGCTGTGAGTACACCCATGCAGTCTAGAGTCTAGACTTCATGTATACGTCCCGCAAATATATATGTTGGATTTATTGTATACTGTATTGGATTTTTTGTATACTTCTGCATATTTTCCCGTACATACTAATGATTATGAAGTCTTTATGTTTTGATGATGATCATAACTGTTGTTTACTATCAATGATCATAAGTTATTATGTTGTTTAAATTCTGCATATAAGTTTTGACTTTGGTGTTTAACACGTCTCGTGCTACTGTTTGAATATTTATTTTGTTTCTTTTGTTACTGATTTTTGTTTGTTTTAATCATTAGTTTTGGGTAGAGGGGTTCAGTTAGAAGTAGGATAAATATAGTTTAGCTAAGTTGCGCGGCTAAGTTCCTTGAGGCTCGCGCCTCTGCCTTGCGCCGCACACCTCTGCCTTGCGCCTCGGGTAAATATAACAAAAAAGCCTCATGCCGCCTCACACCTTTTAAAAAATTGGAGTACCAAAATAGGTGACAATTGAAATTTTCAATCACCATGATCTTTTTTTAGAAACAATCTATTTATTAAGATAAACTAAGCCTTCCAAAGTCTTCCAAACCTCTAAATGGTTCCATATAGACTGGCCCTTAGGGTATGTTTGGGATTTTGGAAGGAAGGGGAGGGGAAGGCTTTAAAGGTATGTTGTTAGAGGGGAAGGGGAGGAAAAGGTGATTAAACCCTTCTTCGTATTTGGGAGTAATAAAATTGGAAGGAGAGAGTTTTTGAAGGAATTATAATTAAAATGACATTGAGATATGACGAATTTAAATCATTGAGCTGATATTCATTTTTAATTTAGCTTAAATTACCATCTTGTTAATTACCTCCCCAAAACCCTCCAAATTGGGGGAACTTAAAAATTGAGTTATTGGAGGGTTTGAAGGGTTACAAATGCCCTCCAAAACCATCCCCTCCAATTTTTAAACTCTCAAAACCCCCATCAACCCCCATCAACATTCTCCTTCCCTTCAAAACCCAACTCCCAAACACACCCTTAATGTCTATACTCTTCATGGATGCATTAGAGAAATCCTACTTCCCTTTTCGTTCCAGTCTGTAAGTGTTACATTCCTTTTTTTGCTGGCAAAGTACATTGAGATAAAGCCATCCAGATGCTGGCTTTAACTTTTGCAGAATTGGCCAGGAAGTGCTAATGGAAGATAATGTACCCGATGACGAGATTGAAATGAAATTAGCACCTATATCTGTTCAATTGGCATTTGTTCAGCAGGTAGAATAATGGTAAATCATATGTGAAGACTATCCAATTTTTTCTTTTCTTATTAAGTGAATTTTTAGTGAGATGGGTTTTTTCCGTTACTCAGATTCTTGGAAAAGAAGAAGCGAGAGAATCTTATACTGATTTTATCGTAAGAAGGTTGGCAGATGAGGCTTCACTCGCAGAAGCAGTGAGTGAGTCTTCGCTTGCAGTAGCAATAAATAACCTCATTGCTTTGAGAGGTCATAAAGACGTTTCAGATAGTCTGAAGAAGCTTGATTTACTTATAGAGAAAAGTGATGATGGGCCATTGAGGTTCCGGCTTGCCCAAGGACTAGAATTGAAGCTCTCTCCAAAGCAGAGGGAAACCATATATACCAATTGGGTGCTATTGCTACTTCATTCTAATAAAATGGACAAGGTCACATCTTATTGCTTGCATCTTCTTTTATAAGGTTGATGACATCTACATATTCTTTTATAGTACCAAAGGACACCCGAGGTTTAAGAAATTACATATATATAATCCCTTAACTGGTCAGATTTTCGCAAATGATACTGAATGATGATATTAGTCGGGATTAGGTTGGTTTTATATAGAGAGAATTTCCTAAATAGGAGTAAAAACGTTTTGAAATTCCAAAATAGGAGTATCATGTTTTTTATTCCCTGAATAGGAGTAAATTTCTGCCAAGTTTGGCATTACAAGGCTTTTAAACATGGCATTTTTTCCCAAACTTGGCAGATTACTCTTATTCAGGGAATAAAAAACACGTTGCTCCTATTTTGGAATTTCAAAACGTTTTTACTCCTATTTAGGGCAATTTCTGTTTTATGAACCAGGAATTCATTTGGTAAGAGTTATTTGGCTTAATCTGCTGCATTTTTTGGAAGGAAAAGTCTTCGGTAAAATCCATTTAAGCCAAAATAAGCAAGTAAAAAGCTATCTGTTATGCTGATAAGCAGATAATCCACTTTCAATTATCCTCAACATTTGTCCTCAATTATTTGTCCCGAAGATTTTTTCCAGAGACAACTATTTCCTCCGTCCCTTATACCTTTCTCAAGTTTGACCAGCACATAGAGTAAGAAGTAAAAAGGCATGGTTCAGATTTGCGTAGAGGACAGAGACACAATAAGATCTAGAAATTACTTAGGTAAACTGGAAAGAGGCAAAGTTTTTTAAACAATCAAAAAAGGAATGTTGACATAGTTTAGAGGGATGAAGGTAGTATAAAATATTTTTCCTGATAAATTCCATGAAAAACAGCAAATACAATCTGAAGGCATTTAATTCTTAGTAATGTCACTATTTTCTATAATCTTTCAATGTTAAAAGGGTTCAATTCTTTGTAATGTCATTATTTTCTATATTCTTTCAATGTTAAAAGGGTTCAGTTCTTAGTAATATCATTTTTTTTCTATAATCTTTCAATGTGAAAGGGTGGTTTGCCCAAAATGACTGGTCAAGGGTTTTGTTTGCAATTTCATAAACCTCGAGGTTCATTTAGTAATTTGACCTAAACTTGGCGGAAGCAGATACAATTGACCCTCTTTTCTAATATGGATTATCTGTTTGTATACCCTTCCCCACACAGACACCCCTCCCCCCCTGAGGCCCTGACACTCAGCTGCTAATAAGTAATAACTATTCAACGAAAGTATAGTGATTGAATTCAAAATTTCGAATACTAAAACACTGCAGGCTCGAGAACTAGTAGCTGCACTTCCGGGAATATTTCCCCACAGCGTCGTCCCCACACTTCTCCAAGCTGCTTTACACGTGAGGGAAAATAAGGCGGTTAAAGCGGAAGAAGTGCTAGGGCAGTTCGTGGATAAGTTCCCGGAGAAGTCGAAGGTGGTCTTGCTGGCAAGAGCACAGATTGCTGCATCTGCAGGCCACCCTCAAGTTGCGGCAGACTCCCTTGGCAAATTACCTGAAATCCAACACAAGCCCGCGACAGTTGCAACACTAGTCTCTCTCAAAGAGCGGGCAGGGGATATCGATGGAGCCGATTCAGTCTTTAATGCCGCAATAGATTGGTGGTCAAACCCCATGACAGAAGAAGACAATAATAACCTCAACATCATCACACAAGAGGCTGCCAAATTCAAACACCGACACGGACGGAGGGAAGAGGCTGCCCGGCTGTACGAGGACTTAGTCAAACGCCACGGGGGTATGGATGCTTTGGTCGGGCTGATCCAAACGACTGCCCAATTAGATGTTGAAAAGGCAGAAGCTTACGAAAAGAAGCTGAAGCCTCTTCCAGGTTTACAGGCGGTTAATATTGACACTTTGGAGAAAACTTCAGGTGCTAAGAATGTTGATGACGGGGCCACACGTATAATTCCAGAATCATATGAGACAAAGACTAAGGAGAAGCCAAAGAAGAAGAGGAAAAGAAAACCTAGATACCCTAAAGGGTTTGATCCAGCTAATCCAGGCCCACCACCAGATCCTGAGAGATGGCTTCCGAAGAGGGAGCGGTCAAGCTATAGACCGAAGAGAAAGGACAAAAGGGTGGCACAAGTAAGAGGGTCACAAGGTGCAGTGGTCAAAGAAACCTTGGGTGGTAGCACTTTGAAACCTAACCAAACTGCTGCCAATCCCAAAGTAGGCTCTCAGAATGTTAATGTAGAGCAAGCAAGGTCTTCAAAGTCATCTAAGAAGAAATCAAGAAAATAAAGTTTATGTGGAAAACCTTTATTTGAAGGTTAATGGACTATTCTGAATGTACTTTGTTGCGTTTTGGTGTTGGAGACTTGAATTGGAAACTCAATTTTTAAATAATATTGTTGTACGCTGGTCTGCTGGAGTCATCCTGCAAGAGGTTTTCTTTATTTTTATATCATTTTTTATCTCCTGATTCAAAGAACCTGACACATTCTGAATTTGTGATAGTAACATTATCAAAGTAAACATTCAAAGATTTTCTCTGTTTGTTTGCTTGCTGGTACTTCAGTTCTTAATGGAAGTATAGAACTGCGGACATGGGAGTTTTGGTTCTGGTGTACAGCAATACTAGTTAAGGTTTTGGTCAAAAGACTCAAATAGTGAGTTACATGATATTCCATCTCTCCTTAAACTAGGTTCTATACCCACCTTGCTTATTTACTTATTTTGTGTCCACCTGGAAAGTTCAAAATTATCTTCTCATTTTTAACAACCACTAGTAGAACACCCGTGCGATGCACAGTTGGTGAATTTTTCACATGTTTAATCATAATCGGGATTATATATTCGCCACATGATTCACAACCGATAGATCTCACATATTTTAAAGCATATTGCCCGGTTTTTTAATGCACGATTGGTGAATTTTTCAGCTGTTCAATCATGTTTAGTCAAATTTGGAATAAAGAATAACTTGTAATTCTAAATGAATCATTTAGAATAAAAAATTAACAGTTTAGAATTAGTCCCTACAATAATGAATTTTGATACGTGATGTAATATATTAAATTCGATTAATCACTAATTACACCAAAGTATAAATATAATTTGCAAAGGCATTAGACTTGTTGCTAAATGTTATGAAATGCTTGTTTATAAACAACCTCAAACTAATACGCTGACTATTATTTATGCGAATTGCATTTTTAAAAAGAATTGCCTTTGTAAACTTGCAAAGCACGGGGGCGTTATGATATTGAAGTAGTATTTTTTTTTGGGGGGGGGGGGGGGGGGGACTGTAATCGGGATTATATTTTCGCCACACGATTCACAACTGATAGATCTCACATATTTCAAAACATATTGCCTGCTTTTTTTTCAATGCACGATTGGTTAATTTTTTCACATGTTCGATCATGTTTAGTCAAATTTGGAATAAAGAATAAGCTTGTAATTCTAAAAGAATCATTTAGAAAAAAAGTGAACATAATTATAGTGCCTACAATAATGTATTTTGATATGTGATTCAATATATTAAATTTGATTAACCACATGTTACACGCAATATAAATATAATTTGAAATCACATTAGACTTGTTAAATGTTATGAAACACTTCTTTATAGATAACAACCTCGAACTAATATGTTGGCTATTATTTATACGAATTGCATTTTAAAAAGAATTGTCTTTGTAAACTTGCAAAGCACGGGGGGCATTAATGCATTATGGTATTGAAGTAGTATTTTTTTTTTGGGGGGGGGGGGGGGGGGGGGGGGCATAATAGATCTCACATATTTAAAAACATATTGCCTAGGTTTTTTTTTAATGCACGATTGGTGAATTTTTCACCTGCTCAATCATGTTTAGTCAAATTTGGAATAAAGAATAAACTTGTTATTCTAAATGAATCATTTAGAATAAAAAAATTAACAGTTTAGAATTATAGTCCCTACAATAATGAGTTTTGATATGTGATGCAATATATTAAATTCGATTAACCACTGATTACACGCAGTATAAATATAATTTGAACTCACATTAGACTTGTTGCTTAATGTTGTGAAACACTTCTTTATAGACATCAACCTCGAACTAATTAATACACTGGCTATTATTTATACGAATTGCATTTTTAAAAAGAATTGCCTTTGTAAATTGGCAAAGCGCGGGGTGCATTATGGTATTGAAGTAGTATTTTTTTGGGGGGGGGGGGGGATTTTAATCGGGATTATATCTTCGCCACACGATTCACAACCGATAGATGTCACATATTTTAAAACATATTGTCTGTTTTTTTTAATGCACGGTTGGTGAATTTTTCACCGGTTCCATCATGTTTAGTCAAGCTTGGAATAAAGAATAAACTTGTAATTCTAAATGAATCATTTAGAATAAAAAAAAATGAACAATTTAGAATTATAGTCATACAATAATGAATTTTGATGTGTGATGCAATATATGAAATTCAATTAACCACTGATTACACGTAGTATAAATATAATTTGAAATCACATTAGACTTGTTGCTAAATGTTGTGTAACACTTCTTTATAGACAACAACCTCGAACTAATACGCTGACTATGATTTATAGGAATTGCATTCTTAAAAAGAATTGCCTTTGTAAACTTGCAAAACACGGGGGACATTATGATATTGAAGTACTATTTGGGGGGGGGGGGGGGGGTAATCGGGATTTTGCATACACACACCCCAAGATACACTTAATCTCATTCATTGTGTTCACCACCCAATTCCACCAATAGAAACAAATCTAGCCAAACAGTGACTCAATCTCAATGCACGCAAGTGATTTCTACTGTGCTCACCTCCTTCTTGGACTAATACAAATTGTTTGATCACAAAGCTTGTTGAATTGACCGACCTAACCTATTTACCCTATATTTTTTTAATTATCTTGACAAAAAATGAATGACTCATTGAAGTTGGATGTTTTTCAGCGGGAACACCTTTGCGATGCACTGTTGGTGAAATTTCCCGGATAGAATTAACTTTAGTCAAATTTGAAATAAAAATTGAACTTGTAATTTTAATTGAATCATTTAGAAGTATACTGCGCAGAATAATAAAATTTGAAGTAAAATGGAATTTATTCTAGATGATTTAGCAATGGTTACGTCTCATGATAAATGTTATGAACACTTCTTTGCATACAATATTTTCGATTTCAATGTTCATTTTTCTCTCGTCGTTTGCAATGTAATTTTTAACGTTATGTGATTGGTTACTCTTAACACAACTGTTGGGATATTGGGTCCAGGCCCAATATCCCTGACCCAAAGTATGAGGAGACCAGGAGGAAGCATAAGGCCCAAAACAGTCCAGACCCGTTCGGCATTCAGCACATTTCTTATACTTGGAACATTTCAGGAAACAATTACACCCAAAGACCCATGGCGGGGTCCCGCACACCGAACGCCCTACCCGAACGGGTAGTCAGCAAGTGGAGGCCGCATTTAATGCAAAAGCATGGCAACAGCAAGTGGGGGCATGGGTTCCTACGTGGCAGGGGGCACAGCCTACCGGATTCAGCCACATGTCCAGCTTTCCCATCCCCATTTTAGTATAAATACCTGCATTAAGAACATTGTAAGGGGTTATCATTTCAATACTCAGAGCTTAGCAAATAGAATTATCGTTCTTATTCTTGTATTCTTGTACTTACCCGCCGTTCGGGTAGTTCAGTGTAATCGCAGCATTACTGAATACAAGTTAGGTCCTGAGTTGAATACCTTTCACTGTTTTTGTTAGACCCTAGATTTTGATAAACAGTTTTGATGATGCCATAGTTTTGATATCCCCCATCTTTTGTAGCATTCAAATACTATGTATACTGACAGTTGGCGATACTAACAAAATTATCTGAAAGTGTCCTGTTTAAATTAACAATTAACAAATAAATATAACTGGAAAACATAAAATGCAATAAGGTAATATTTTATTACCTTAAAAGGATCTCTTATAGATCCTACCAGTTAAATTTATTTGTTACATCAAATGACACAAAAGTATTTCGAACAACTAAACTATTTATCTAACTGGAACACAAAATGCAATAAGGTAATAATTTTTACCTTAATAGGATTTGTTATCCTACCAGTTAAAAATTCAGTTTATGTTCGAAATACTAGATGGACCATACACAACCAAGAGTAACCAGAAGTCAAAAGAAAAATGTTTGTATCAAAAAAATTATACCGGCAAAGTCAAAATGCAATAAGGTAATTTTTACCTTAAAAAGGGATATTTAAATCCAACCGGTATATATTTATTTGATACGAACATTTTAATTCGTCACAAAAACGAAAGACACATTAATATGAAAAATACATGTGTCTAATTGAGAACAAATAAATGTATAATTTTTAAGACTAATAAAATTAATACTGGAAATTAAAAATGCAATAAGGTAAATTCATTTACCTTAATAGGATATTTAAAATCCTACCAGTATAAATTTTATTAGACTCAAAAATTAACTGTTCGATTGTTTGGAGCCAATAAAAAATGAGGAAACCCCATCATGGAGAAAAATTTATGTGAGAACGTACAGTATGGGATGCACAGTCAACTTGAAATGGAAAAGCTACAGTGGCTAGGCAAACAAGACAAGAAAACTTATCGGCTCCAAAGAAGAAGATAAACAACAAGTTGTTTATCCTCTGAAATCAAGATTCAACGATCAAGATTAATCCATCCCAACCAACAGATGAGATTAACTTACCGGAGATGCCTATAAATAAAGGCCGAAGCATGAGTTGAAAAATCAAGTTCTTGAGTTCAAAAGCAGAAAGATCCTATGAGCATTCAAAGAATATCTAGCAAAGAGAAAGTTCTTGATCATAACTTCACTCTCTGCTTTGACTCATGCTTCACTAAGCTCTTAGATTAGATCTTCACCTTCATATTATTAGAGCTTAGGTTTAGTTGGAATTGAACCTTCCTGTGATATTTTCAAAAGTGGTTGTAAACACTTAGGAGAACAGTTGTTCGGATCCTAAAGTGTGGTTAGATAGATAGAGTACCTTTTGATCCCCACTGGATCATTTGAGAAAAGTCTAAGGACTGAGTAACTTTGAGTGGTGTTATACTCATTGTGAAAAACCTTCAATCTAGGCCTAAGTGTCGTAAAGGCTAGATTTTCACTAAGTGTATTGGGCTTAATACTTTAGTGGAAATCCATCTGAAAGAGGTGGGATTGGATGTATGAGGATTACACCACCTTTGAACCAGGATACACCACGTGTTGATTTTCTTTTACTCAACAGAGCACACACCCAACACTTCTCACTAAAGGGATCGTAGTTTGCCAGCAGCATCCTAAGCAGTTGTCTTAATTGACTCTACTGCTTATCCTACTGCTTAATAACTCACTTTTCCTTGAGACAACTGTTTCACACAAGCTTTGGAATACCACTACTAAAAGGTTTGGCTTGTCAGTTCTCAAAGATACTTCTTTCATACGCAGCAGACGGCTTAGCAGTTTCCTAGGTCTACCCAACTGCTCAGACCTCTGCTCAGGCAAAACCCTTTATTTTCTCCAGCTCAGCACATATCCAGTAAGCCCTCATCATTCTGTACAAGGCCATATAATCATCTCTCCCAAACTCCTGTTTTCCACTAGCAGTTGCCTCAGCAGTTCCCTGCCATCCAGGCAACTGCCAAGCCAACTGCTCATTGTTCAAAAATCCAAACATCATTCAAGCTGAAAAGTGTTATACATTGAACAACTAGAGGCTAAAGACTTCCACTGTGCATCTATTAATCTCCCAAAAGATTATAGATCAACTCATCTAGAAGGGAAAGTTTTTCAAGTTGCAAAAAGCTTTAAAAGTCTATTCACCCCCCTCTAGACTTTTACCTCTATCAGGGACCTTCAGTTTTATATTTATACACTTTCCAAACCAACCCAACATCCCTACAATATCCAGAGTTTGTGTTGGGCTTTCGGATCTTCGGGAATAAACCTCAACAACAACCATGTAAGATTAACCGTGACCAAAAACTGTTTTTTTTCAACATCAAACCAAAATGCGACAACGACTATCTTTGACTTTTATTTACAATCATGACGTAATTAGTTGTGTTTGGGTATTATCGTACTCCGTATATGTTAGAATCTCACACAGGAAAACTTTGAATCAGCAAAAAAACGTTTCATAACAGTGGGTACCTCCATTTTGCCAGCCAACAAATGAATCCAAACCGCACGGGAATGATCATCCACAATTGTCAAAAAATAATACACACCACATGTACTAGGTTCCCGGTAAGGCCCCCACACATCACAATGAATATAAATCACAATGAATAAGTTCAAACACATGCAAAACACGATTAATACTAGGAATAAATGTTTCACGAGTTTGTTTGGCTCGTGCACAAATGTCACAACTCTTATTAAAATTACCACTACTGCTAACTTTATTTTGTGAGACAGAAAGTAAACGGATGACCCGAGATGAAGGATGATATGACCCATTCTCTTATGCCACAAGTCTTCTGTATTACCACCATCTACAAGAAAAGCTTGCACGGAATCAACGCCATAGAGAAAATAGACCCCACCACGACGTTCACCCACTCCAATCAGCGTCTTCAAAGTGAGGTCCTGTATCACACAAAACTTATCAGTAAAAATAACGTGACACGGTAAATCATCAATGAGACGTCCAACAGAAATCAAATGATGAGTTAAATGTGGCACAAGAAGCACTCACTCAAGAGTAACCTTGGCCCCCAGTTTTACACGTCCAATGTGGCTAGCATATGTGATATTTCCGTTAGGAAGCGTCACAGGTATAGAAGAAACAAGAATTATATCGATCATTATTCTTTTGTCACCCATCATATGGTATGATGCCCCCGTGTCCAGAAGCCAATTTACACATGACGTACCTGCCAATTTCTCAACCTTGTCACCTATGTTATATTTTTTCATAAACTCCAACAAAGTGTTCCATTGTTCGGCCGACAGCGTGGGCACCGGCGGCCTTGAATCTCCCTGATCAACAAGCTCATCTGCCAGAGGTCCACGCACCGCATGAGCTGCTGCCATATGACCCCTGCGTGCATGCTCCTCTCCAGGTCCCTTGCGGTTGTTTCCTTTGCCAGAACCACCGGAACGTTCTTTGCCCTTTTCATTTTTGTTTGCATACCACCAGTCCGGATACTCATCGGTGAGCTTGAAGCAATGTTCACGATCATGTCCCTCTTTCTTGGAAAATGAGCACACGAGTTTGCCTTTTTTTTAGAGGACCCAGCGTTCCAATCCCCCCGGAATGCAGTGCAAAGGCTGCCTCCTCACCCCGGATATCCTGCGTTCGGGTGACCTTCAAAAGGCGCTCTTCATGTATCAACATGTGATATACGAAGTACCTTGCTTAGAGAAGGTAAATCTGATAGGAGAAGTAGCCCATGTCTTAATATAGCACTTTGCTGATTCAAAGTTTTCCGGTGTGGGATTCTAACATTATCACACCATTCAGCACGAAATAAAAAATACGTGTTTAGTGAAAAAACTGAGTTTTAAGTCTGATAAGTTGAAAAATAGAATCACCAATCGGGCTCATTGTAATAAACATCTCGATTATTTCAAAATATTTAATGTGAAATATTTATAAGTTTATAAATACAATCTACTTGTAACAGACATCCCGATAATAGTATTTGTAATTAACTTTTTACCACTAATACATTTATAAAAAGTATATATTACACAATAAAACAACAGTCCGTAAATATATTTTTTAAAATTACTTTGTATGATACAATTAAAGAAGAAAAAGTGGACAGCTCCTACGAGATGTAGGGTTTTTCCTTCCGCCGATCTCAATCCGTGCGGCTCAGTTATGGAATCCGATTTGTATTTTCTCTTTGGTTAATTGGAGTGTTGCTTCATCTGCGTTTCAGTAGCTACTAAGTTTTGTTTTTGTTGGGCAGCTTTGTTTCGTTGTTACACAGGTTTCAACCGGTGAGATTTGGACTGGAAAGAAGATCGTACTTCCATTTGGGCGGCCTAGGTTGGGGTGAACTGTGAACGTGAGTCTCATAGCGTGATTTGGTGGCGGCTTTGTGGCAGCAGCAATGCAGGTACAAAGCTTCGAAATTGGACTTGGTAAAGGCAATTTTGGAGAAGCAAGATGGCTATATAATAGGGGAGGGTAATGGGGAAGGACTGGTTTTTGATGATGAGGGCAGTGATGAGGAGGGAGAAGGTGCTCAGATGGCTTTTACGGTGGTTGGTACTCTAATCACAGACAAAATGGTGAAGTTTCAGCTTTTCAAGAAATTGGGGAGCGCAGATATTTGTTTACATTTGTTTACATTTTGAACAAAACCTGCTAGGATTACATGAGATCAAGCCAGGGGATTTCCACTTAGGGTCCCATTGACCATGACCGGTATTTGGATTCAGGTTCATAATGTGCCTGATGGTCTTATTTATGACCCTAAAAACAGCACAAAAAATTGGGAATTATCTAGATAAATTCGTTCACTTGGATGAAAATCAGATAGATGGTAGTTGCAGTGTTTATTTGAGGATCAAAATTAGCCTAGATATATGTGAACCTCTGCAGAAAGGGACAAAAATTCAAAAGGATAATAGGGAGTTCTGGGTGGACTTTAAATATGAGAAATTGCCTCGTTTTTGTTTCACTTGTGGGATTATTGGACACACAGAGAGATATTGTCCATTGGCATATGGGCAAGGGATAAAGGTTTTGGTTAAACCTTTCGGTCCAGAACTCAGAGCTGGAAGGGGGAGATTTCGCCCAACATGGGGTAAAAATGGGTTGTTTCAGGAAGGGGATGGGAATTTAGGTAAAGACAGGAGTCACAGGACGTGCATGGGAGGTAGGGGGAGGCAGAATAGCTATCAAGATGGAAGATTTAATGCAGGAGAGCAACACATGTTCCCGGGCAATAGCAAGGAGGATGCAGGAGACCAGAAGAGAAGGAGGCTTTGGAAGAACTCGTGGAAGAGGTCCAAGAAGGGGAGGAGATGGATCTAGAAACTTCAGCTCGGGAGGATCAGGCCAAGGAGGAAGTTGCAAAGAATGTTATGGCGTTGGTCTCCTCAAAAAACGGGGTTGGGGCGGGCGCTGGACTCCAGCTCCGCCAGATGATCTGATGCTGGCTACAGCTTTACTAGCTGAGAAACTTATTTACTCTATTTTTTTTTTTTTTTATACCCGGAAGGTCAACCACCAAAATCAGTGGGGTAAATGCCGGGGAACATTTACCGAATTTTATTAGATAAAATGATAGTTAAAACAAAAGCAATAAGAAACCGAAAGAGGGAAATAAAACAGCAAAACAAATGCACAAGCTAATATCTAATAGATGGTAGCCCAAAGAAATCCATCCAAAAAGCCCGTCTAGCCATAATAGGAAGCCCGCCTGAACTTAAGAAAGTCTGGAAATCTTCAAAATGGGCCTCTGCCAAATAATGGGCAGTCCAATTCCTTTCCCTCAGAGCATGTCCAAACGTGACCTGTTTCCTAACAGCAAAAGACGTGGTTTCCAGAATGAAGCTTCTCCATCTGCTAATCTTCTTGTCCGCTACATAATCCAGGGCTAACAAGGAGTCAGTCTCAACTTCAAACTCTGCATATCCACTATCCAGCATCCATCTAGTAGCAAACAAAACAGATTTCAGCTCTGCCTCCAGAGGCGAATCAGCGTGAATGGTAAAACTGATTGCGATTATCATTTCACCGTCCCTGTTTCTCAATATGGCACCTCCGGCAGCCTGTCCAGGTGAGTATCGTGCATCCACATTGAGTTTTTTGTCCTTGAATGGCTTTTTCCACTTAATGATCTGAAGTACTGGCCTCTTTATGCTAAAACTTTGTGGGATCAATTGTTCTTCAAAAAGAATTCCTCCAATAGATCTAATCTTCACTGTAGACAGGCTTTGAACCCATGTGTGAGTGCGGCTTTTAATTTGAATGATAATCTGAGCCGAAGTAGGAATTGATGCACCCTCTCCCCAGATCAGATTAGTGTATGACTTCCAAATTTGCCAACAGATTAGACCAAAGATATTTTGTCTAAACACACCTAATAAGCTGTTCACTCTTCTTGTCCAACCCAGTCTCAAAGAATTAATCCCCAAGTCAGCCGGGTAGTAAATACCCAAAATTCCAAAGAAATATTGCCATACTTGTTTAATTTGGGAGCACTGAAAAAATAAATGGGCCATAGAATCACTGTTTTTTCTACATAACGGACAAATAGAAGGATTGAGAACCTTCCTGAACCTACCTAATGCATCTGTGGTTGGCAGGATCCCTTTCACAATCTTCCAAAGAAAAATCTTAAGTTTGAGCTCCAGTTTATTATCCCAAATGTACTGATATATGTGAGAGCTGAAACCAAGATTCCTTACTTCATCAAAAGCTGATTTTAAAGAAAACTGACCATCATTTTCTTCATTCCAGGTGACATTTCCAGTGGCATCAGTTGACACCAGACTCAAACCTTGATCATGAGCATGACAAATTCTTCTCCAGATGTTAGAATCTGTGACTTTGGGTAACATGTTCTCTTCCCTATCATATTTAGCTCTTATGAAGTGAGACCAGTATGAATCCCCTGCTTTCCATTTCCACCAGAGTTTAAGAGTGAAAGCCTTCTCAATGTCTGATAGAGACCTTATCCCCAACCCCCCCTCCAATGTAGGAAGACAGAGTTTAGACCAATTTATCCAATGATACTTATTTTGAACATTAGATGAACCCCAGAAAAAGGACGTCATCTTGCTGTTTAGAACCTTTATAACTTTCTTAGGCAAAGTATCTACAGCCAAAGTATGTAAAGGGATAGCATTGAGAACATGTTTTATGAGAATAAGCCTGCCTCCTTGTGATAAATTTTTTTGTTTCCATGGAGTAAGCTTATTTTCAAACTGCTTGATGATGTTTCCACAATACTGGAATCTGTTAATACCTTTATGTAGATTTACCCCAAGATATTTGATCGGAAGATCAGAAAGTTTCATACCCAACAGATTTTTAATCTTGGACCTTCTGCCTGGACCAGTCTTACCACAAATAATAGAGCTTTTATCAAAGTTGACCTCCTGGCCAGATGCCTCTTGATAATCTGTTAGGAATTTTTTAAAATTTAAAAGAGATCTAGCCTCTCCATTTAGAAATATCAGAAGATCATCAGCAAAGCCCAAATGTGTGGCTGGATTGCCATGAATACCCATCCAGAAAGGCTTTATTTTACCAGCACCAACCAGCCTGTTAATTCCTCTTGAGAAAGCCTCTGAGACAATAATAAACAAAAAAGGTGACAATGGATCACCTTGTTTAACACCTCTTGTTGGCTTAAAAAAACCATGAGGAATCCCATTGATTAAGACTGATAAGTATGTGGACTTGAGGTTATTCATAACCAAGTGGACAAAAGTAGTAGAGAATCCAAATCTTAGAAGAGTTTCTGATAAAAACTGCCATGAGACCTTATCAAAGGCCTTGGCCATGTCAAGCTTAATCACAACATTACTTCCTCTCACCTTTTTATCAATACAGTGAACCATTTCCTGAGCAATTAAGATTTGGTCTGCAATATCCCTTTGAGCCATGAAACCTACCTGCTCTTTTGATATTATAGAAGGAAGCACCTGAGTCAGTCTAGTTGCCACAACCTTTGTGCACACTTTACTGATGAAGTTGGATAAACAAATGGGCCTGAATTCACCAAAAGATCTGGGCCTGTCAGATTTAGGGATAAGAGTAATCCATGAGCTGGAAAGACCTTTAGGAATAGAGTGACCCATAAAGAAATCCTGAACAGCTCTGACCACATCCTTATCAATGATGGACCAGCAATGTTTATAAAACTTACCATGGAAACCGTCAGGTCCTGGAGCACTATTTTGGCTGAGGTCCCAGACTGCCTTTTTAACCTCATCCAAATCAGGTAGTTTGGTAAGCATAATATTAGCATCATGATCTATTAGCTGTGGAATACATTGTAGTATGTTCTGACTGATATTAACTTCCTTTTCAGTGTATAACTTTGAGAAAAATTCCACAGCCGCCTCCCCAATTTGAGGAAGAGAATGCACCTCCTGACCTGTCTCATTATGAATAGAAGAGATAGATTGCTTTCTCTTTCTTATCTGCACATATGAGTGGAAAAAGTGAGTATTGCTATCTCCATCTTTTAACCACCTGATGTTGGCCTTTTGCTTCCAATACCTCTTTTCTAATTTATACTTCTGAGTCAAAAGCCCCTTTTTGTAAAACCAATTTTCCCTGTTTTCTTCACTGGGCTGATTTTCAAAGGCTATTTCTGCTTGTATAGCCTCTTCTTCACATTTTTTGACCTCTTCAAAGATGTTCCCAAATACGAACTTGTTCCAATTCCTCAGTTCCTTTTTAAGAAATTGAAGTTTGGTGACAAAGCCATGCATACCTCCTCCTGTATGAACAGATTCCCATTTTTCTTTAACAAAAGCCATAAAAGATGGATGTTTAACCCACATATTTTGAAATTTAAAAGACTTCGGCCCTGGTACACACTGATTAGAGCTATGAACAAGAATTGGGTTGTGGTCGGAGGGGGTACTGTTCAGTAAAGAAACTTTAATAGTATCAAAAACATCCAACCACGATTTGTTGAATAAAACTCTGTCTAATCTTCTCCATACTCTCCCATTAGATCTGTTACCAGTCCAGGTATATTGGGGCCCTTCATATGGAAGGTCGATCAAATTACAGGAGGCAATGCAATCTGAAAAGTCATTGATGCCCCTAATAAGAGGAAGAGATGTACCTTGATGCTCACTATATTTTGCTATTGCATTAAAATCCCCCCTATCATCCAAGGCCCTTTTATAGTAGCCGAGATGCCTGATAAAGCCTCCCAAAGTTCTCTTCTTACAATGTGATTGTGTTTCCCATAGATACCTGTCACCCAGCCTGAAAAGGATCTGCCAGAAACTTTGAAATGGACCAATTGCTCCTCCCACAAGAAATCAGATAGAGTCAGATGGGTAGAGTCCCAAAAAAGCCATACTTTGTTAATATCAGAGAAAATAGCCGAGTCAAACCCTAACATATTTTTGTAAATGTCAATCTTTCCACTGTTAACCATGGGCTCTATAAGAACCAATAGTTGAAACCTCCATTGCTTGACTAGGGAACTTAGCCTGGAACTGGAGGATTCCAGGCCCCTAGTGTTCCAAAATAGGCAAATCATTGGGAGACATTGGAATTCCCCCTAGCCACACTCCTTGTATTCCTTTTGGTTTGAACATCTTCTGATAACTTCTTTTTTGTTGCCTTTCTGGTCACTTGTATGTATTCTCCCTCTATGTTGCCCTTATTAAAAGCATCCTGCCACTTTTCTAAAGGCTCATCAAACTGAGTTTCTTGTTTATTCCCATTTGAGTCTGACCCAATGGCTGCTTTCTCCTTGTCCTTCTGAATGATTATATTGTCAATCTTAGCACAAATATCATTCCAGGAATCCAAAAAAGAGTTTGGATGAACTTTCTTATCATGATCACCTTCTGAAAAGTAGCCTCTATCCACTATCATTGGATCAGAGAAAATAGCATAGTCCAGTTCCAAAATATTGGTATCATCTTTACTACCCTGTGTATTTTTATTTGCAGGTGATATGGAAGAGGTTGGAGCTGGTGCTAGAAGTAACGGGACTGAGTTGCAGCAAGGGGGAGGGGTGAGCTTTGAGGTGGAAGGGTAGCTCAGAGTCAGGGGTAGGTTATCGGACAGAGCAATGTCTGGGGAAATGTGAGGGGTGAAAGCTGTAATTTGTTTGGAAGTGGAAGGGGGGTCGGGATGGTTGAAATCTGAATTATCAACTGCAACAATTACTTGTTTTGTAGTGTCTGTATGGCTGGAGTTTGTCCCAGTGATAACAATAGGGGTGTTGTCTTTATTACCAACTTCTGCATTATTGATCTTTGCATGGTTGTTATAACAGGAATGGCCCACCTTGGAGCATTTTTTACAGAAGGGGGGTAGTTTTTCGTAGTAAATATCCTGAGTAAATCCGTCATCACCTGCTTGGATCCATAGGGAGCTAGGATAATGCTTCGTAAGATCTAGTTCAATGAGGATCCGAGCA